CTCTTTTAACTAAGAACAAATTAGGTTTTGTTGATGGTTCTATTGCACGACCACTGGAAAATGATCCTACATTTCCAGCTTGGCTACGATGCAACATGATTGTTTTGTCTTGGATTCATCGATCAATAAGCAGTTCCATTGCTCAATCCATATTATGGATAGATCGAGCCAGTGATGCTTGGTCTGATCTTCGGGGAAGATTTTCTCATTCTGATATATTTCGCATTTCTGATTTGCAAGAAGAAATTTATAAGATACAACAGGGTGATCGTTCGGTTACTGAGTTCTACACTCAAATGAAGATAATGTGGGATGAACTTGACAACCTAAAACCTCTACCTACCTGTAGCTGTGATGATCCATGTACATGTGGAGGATACAATTTGATGAGAACATATAGGGATCGTGATCAAGTGGTTCGGTTCCTCAAAGGTCTCAATGAGCAATATGCTTATGTGAGATCCCAAGTGATGCTGCTAGATCCTTTTCCCAGCTTAATCAGAGTTTTCTCTATGATTGTTCAACAAGAGAGGCAAATGCTTCGTGAAGTTCTAGTTGATTCAACCACAGAAACCAGAGTTTTCAACAATTTTTCTGATAATCATCAGAAACAGAATTTTGGAAGAGGCAGGGGTCGTGGATTCCCTTCCTTCTTCAATAAGGGACGTGATTCTGGTAAAGTCTGCACTTACTGTGGCAAGCCTAACCATACTGTTGATACTTACTATCAAAAGCATGGATATCCTCAAGGTTTCAAACCAAAAGGTCCATCGAATGCTAATTTTGTGGCTCAAAATGATACTGACATCACTGAAGGTGGTGATAATTCAGATTCCATGGTGACTATTTCTCAGGATGAATATCAAAATTTGATCAAGGGTTTGCAATTGGGATCTTCAGTTGAAGAAACTCCAATCAGTTCCACCAATCTCATTCACACTACTGCCATGAACACTAACACAGGTAGTCTCACAGGTAGTTTTCACTCCAAATGGCTTCTTGATACTGGAGCCACTGATCACATCAGTTATGTCTCCTTTAATTTTTCTACATTGACTAAAATCAGTCCCATTTCCATCACCTTACCTTATGGTTCACACACCACAACTCATTTTTCTGGCACCGTCAATTTTTCTTCAACCTTAACTTTGTTTGATGTACTGTTTGTTCCCTCTTTTCATGTCAATTTAATATCAGTCACAAAATTGATCAAAAGTCTGTCTTGCTACCTAATATTTCGTGATTCCTACTATTTTGTGAAACAGATTCATACCAATGTGATGATTGGTTCAGCTGATTTGGTTGAAGGATTGTGATGAAGTCCTCAAGTAGAGATCAAACCACCAACACCAACCTCAATTTCCATACAAAATTTCTTCTGTTTTTCATCATTCTGTAAATAATATTGATGCCTCTATCCTTTGGCATCATAGACTAGGTCATGTACCTTACTCTACCTTACAGCAAATGGCAATAAAATTTCCTTTCATTCTTGCTAAAAATATTGCTCCCTGAGATGTTTGTCAATTTGCTAAACAACACAAATTACCATATCCACATAGCAATACCAAAACAACTTCTAATTTTCAATTGATACATGTTGATATTTGGGGCCCTTATTCGACTCCATCTATTCATGGTCATAGATATTTCTTGGCCATTGTTGAGGATTTTTCTCATTTTACTTGGGCACTTTTGTTAAAATCTAAAAGTGAAGCTAGGAAGGCTTTACAAAATTTTATCATCATGATTCAGAATCAGTTCCACTTAACTGTGAAATGTGTTAGATCAGATAATGGACCCGAGTTTGCCATGTCTGCTTTTTATCAAGAAAAAGGTATCTTGCATCAAACAACTTGTGTTGAAAATCCTCAACAAAATGGCATTGTTGAAAGGAAACATCAACACATCCTCAATGTGGCTCGGGCACTTATCTTTCAGTCCAATCTTCCATTGTCATTCTGGTCATATGCTATTTCCCATGCCATTCATCTCATCAATCGTTTATCAACTCCTTTGCTCAATCATTCCACTCCTTATGATGTTCTATACCATAAACCTCCCACACTTATGCATCTCAAGGTTTTTGGATGTCTCTCATATGCTTATACTCTTCTTTCCCATAGAACTAAATTTGCTCCTAGAGCATATAAAACTGTTTTTCTAGGCTATCAAGATGGTGTTAAAGGCTACATTCTCCTTGATCTCAAAACCAGAAAAAAATTTCTTTCTCGAAATGTCATCTTTTTTGAACATGTGTTCCCTTTTACTACTAAACTAGACCCACCTCAGACTTCATGTCACCTAACTCCAATCCATTTTGATTTTCAAAATCCTATTGATCTCAATTTTACTTCTGATCTTGATACACTGCCACAACAGCTACCTTCCCCTTTACCTACCAATGATATCCTACCTCTTATTCCTATTGTATCACCTGATCCCACATTGCCAAATCCTCCTTCATCTGATCTCATACGCAGAACTTCCAGACCTAGAAGACAACCTAACTACTTACAGGACTATCACTGCAATTTATCAATCACATCAGCTCCTCAACTCATCTCAGGTATTTCTTCTTCTCCCAAAACTGCACATCCTTTATCCAATGTACTAACCTATGACAGGTGTTCACCTTTCTACAAAAATTATTGTCTCAATATCACTACCCATACAGAACCTCACACTTATTCACAAGCTTCCAAACATACATGTTGGCAGCAAGCCATGAGAACTGAACTTACAGCCCTTGATCGAAACAGTACATGGAGTCTTATTCCCCTTCCACCTGGCAAAAGCACCATAGGATGCAAATGGGTATACAAGATTAAACACAATGCTGATGGATCTATTGAACGGTATAAGCTGTTGCTTTCTCTTGCTTCTGTTAAGCATTGGTTCTTGGAGCAACTTGATGTGAACAATGCCTTCCTCCATGGTGATTTACATGAGGAAGTATACATGACTTTGCCACCTGGACTTGCTTGTTCGGATCCCTCTCTGGTTTGTAAACTTCACAAATCCATTTATGGGCTCAAACAAGCCAGTAGACAGTGGTACTCCAAGTTATCTGCTGCTCTTTCTTCTCTTGGCTATTCCCAATCTCAGGCTAATTTTTCTTTGTTCACCAAACAACAGGGTAGTCATTTTACAGCTTTACTTGTCTATGTTGATGACATTGTTCTCACTGGAAACAACATGGCAGAAATTCAAAGGGTAAAATCGTTTCTGGATGGTCATTTCAAGATCAAGGATTTGGGGAAACTCAGATTTTTTTTGGGTCTTGAGGTTTCACACTCTTCTTCTGGTATTCTTCTTAATCAAAGAAAGTATACATTGGAGCTTCTTTCTGATTCTGGATTACTGGGATGTAAACCAGCCCTTACTCCAATGGATCCTTTAGTAAAATTGTGTCGTGACATGGGACAATTACTTCCAGATGCTTCACTATATCGAAGACTCACTGGCCGTCTGCTATATCTGACCACTACTCGCCCTGATATCAGCTTCAGTGTTCATCAACTAAGCCAATACTTGGCTGCTCCCACTGATGCTCATCTTGAAGCAGCTCATCGAGTTCTTCGATATCTGAAGAGTTCCCCTGCTAAAAGTCTATTCTTTTCTGCTACTTCTTCTTTGCAGCTAAATGCATATGCTGATGCCGACTGGGCATGTTGTCCAGACACCCGTAGATCAGTCTCAGGTTTCTGTGTGTTTCTTGGCACCTCCCTCATCTCTTGGAGATCAAAGAAACAGACAACAGTATCACGCTCATCCACTGAAGCGGAATATCGTGCATTGTCTTCCATCACATGTGAACTCCAATGGCTATCATTCCTCTTACAAGACTTAGTTGTTCCAAGACCAAAACCAATTGCTATTTTTTGTGATAACCTCTCTGCCATCCATCTATCTCACAACCCGGTTTTCCATGAAAGATCCAAACATATTGAGTTGGATTGTCACATTACTCGTGAGAAGATACAATCTGGCCTTCTTCATCTGCTTCCTGTTTCCACTCATGATCAGATTGCTGATGTCTTTACAAAGCCTCTACTATCTTCTCCATTCAACTCTCTTATTGGCAAGCTTGGCCTTCTTGATGTTCATCACCCAGTTCAAGCTTGTGGGGGGGGGGGGGGGGGTGTTACCAGGCTCTAAAGACTTGGGCCCAAAAGATACAACAGGGCCCAATCCAATGTAATCATATTAGTCAGTTTCTTTTGTTTATTCTGTTAGAAGTTAGTTAAAGGTTTAATTACTGATTACTTCTTTTAATTCTTCTTGAACCAGTTGTATAAATAAACTGGTTCCATTCATTTGTTGTACATAATAAGTTAATTCAATACAAAGCAAAAGACCTTTAAGTTCGTGTTCGTCTTTTCTCTCTGTTATGCTTTTGCATGTTGAGCATCACATTCTGATCTTGCATGTTGAAGATCCAATATCATAAGAAATATCACGGATTGCCATTCGTGAATTGTGTAGGATTAGTTCTTTCACTTTTTCTTTTTTTTTTGTACATTAGTTCTTTCACTTTTTTTTCTTACCACGATTTATATTTTTCTTTCATTTTATTACTATTACATAAATTTCGTACAACATTCGTACTAAAATTCAAAAAAATTAAAATTAACAAGTACTGAATAAGGTTATAAGCAATACATTAAAAAGTTTAAAATAAATAATTATTGTGTATTGCACTGGTCAGTAGTCAACTACTAATACAAGCTCACTAAATCGAAATGACACGAAAAACATTTTTCGAGTAACACAAGGTTTCTGAATTTTCTTTTTCTTACCTTTGATACTCATAGGCCAAATTATGGTCTCCATCATGCGTTATAAGTACAAACATAAGTTTCCAACTGAAAAGGAGAGCAAGCAAACGGGATATAAACTTTGGCTTTGCTTAATACAATCTCTAGAACAACGAAAACATTTGAAATAACTTGGTCATTTTTTGTTACAACTTGCACCAAACATTTGAGATGACAATGTCAAGCACTAGAGTCAGGACCAGCCGGTCTTGAATTGAGAAGTGGCTGAAGAGCTTTGACAACAATTGTCATGTTTGGCCGGAAGTCAGCTTCATACTGAACACAAAGTGCTGCAACAGCTGCCAACTACAAATCCACATCAAATGATTAGTCACAGTCTGAGGGTAACAATTTATATATCTTGAATACTGAGTTCAATTTAAGTGAAAAAAATAAAGTAGCAAACCTTAGCAATAGCCTTTGGTGGATAGTCATTGTTTAGTTTAGGATCCACACATTGTTTAACTTTGTCCTCACTCAGCCTTGGAGTTGCCTAAAATAGTTTTAAAAAAATTTACCAAAAGTAGTGTAGACTACAATGGAAAAATAAATCAATTAAGATCGTTAAGGATAAACGAATTAGGGGGTAGACATACCCAAGTTACAAGACTTTGTTGCCCTTTGGGCATTGTGTGATCTACTGGCTTTCTTCCTGTCAAGAGTTCTAAAAGCACAACCCCAAAACTGTAAACATCACTTTTCTGGGTTATCTGCCCAGTCATGGCATACCTGAAGATGAAAGTAATCATTTTAAAAATAAAATCATAACATATATTAACATGAATATATACACAAAGGATAGTGTTTACTCATGAAAATAACCAACAAGAACCTCGAATATTCTGAAGATATATTCATTGGTGTTATGTCTACATACAATATTCTTCATTTTGCATAAAGTTATGGTTATGGTTATGATTAGTTATATGACAGTTATTTAGCCTGTTTCATGTTAATGGAGACCAGTATAGCTATAAGTTTTGTTTACTTTCAACCGAGCACAATTCACCACAATTGGATCTCAAGTTACACTATGATCAGGAAGGTAGAATTCAAGGGCATACTCTGGAGCATGATAACCAAATGTTCCCAAGACTCTTGTTGAATGTAGCCGAGCTGCTGTGTCAGAAGACTGATTTGTCAAGCTGAAATCAGCAATCTTGGCCTCATAGTCATTGAAGAGTAAGACATTGCTGGATCTAACATCGCGATGAACTATAGAAGGCTGAACCTTTTCATGAAGATACTCAAGTCCTTTTGCTGCACCAAATGCAATTTTTGCTCTCTGGTTCCAACTTAAAACTGGGCCAGGTTCAGCACCTTGTACACCCTTCCTTCCTGCAACAGCAAAAGCCTAGTGTTCAGTCAAAAAAACAAGAACTATTATTTCCTTAATAGAATAGTTACATTTTTAGGCCTACCATGTAATATGTCATGCAAAGAACCCAAACTTGCATATTGGTAAACCAAAAGTCTGTTGTTTGCTTCTAGACAATATCCAATCAACTCCACAAAATTTTGATGCTTCAGTCTTGAAACAACTGATAACTGCATAATCAATAGTGACATAATCAAGAGTGTGACAACACCAAGATCCAAAACATTGCTTCAATGGATTTACAATCTCAAATAAAAATCTTACCTGAGCCGCAAAATCGGAGTCAGGTTCTGGTGAAGAACTAGTATCCAGCTTCTTAATTGCAGCATCAGTACCATTACTCAATTTTGCATAGTAAACCCTTCCATAGGAACCTTCGCCAATATAAGCCTTTTCACCAAAGTTTCCTGTTAACCTATTTAACTCGTCCAATGGCATAACGGGTATCTCAATCGGTAATCCTTGCTGTGGAGCACCACTCTTGACAACATTGCCCCTTGGCTCTCCTCTATCATTGCCTATATTCATAGAAGGTTACATTACTCATAAACCTTGAAGAGGAAAGGTAATATTTAACCAAGTGATATGTGTAAAACAATACATAAAAGCATCATGTCCCTTTATTAAGGTAATTGCAAAATACATAATTAGGAAAGTATTATAGAGTATATAGTTAATTTCTAGAAAATTTGTGTCAAAGATTGGATACCATTCCACATAAGCCAATGATGATAATTTATTCCATACATTTAAATGGACTACTCAATCCAGTTCTTATACTTTGGCTTTAAATTGTTCTGTGACTGTCCAAGAATAAGCAAAAAAAATTCTAGCAATAAGACCAAAAACAGTAGGAGCACCTATGTTCAAGCCAAATGAAAAGAAAAGGAACCATATATAAAAATGAATATGTTACCTCCTCCACCGTAGGTGTTACCCCCTCTAGGTGGTGCAGTGTATTGGTTTGCAGGTGGGCCACTGCTCTCTTCCTCTGCACCTCCGCAGCACAACATACTTCAAATAGTCCTAGCTGCAATCTCAATAAGCCATCCACTATAAACTATATCGAATGAATCACCTGAAAGTACTTCAAGACTCAAAAAATTTCCACCATATAGCTCATTGACACAAGTGTTAATAGGGAAGCTAGCCTTCAAAATTCAAATTCACTGCCACCCACAATTTGTCTTTTAAACTGGTTTAGAAAAAAAGGGACAAAATCCCCTCAACCTCAACCTCAAGAATTTCTCTCCAATTCTACACATTTTTTTTGATAGACGGAGATAAAACACATAAGCAATAAAAACCGTTTGTTCCTATAGGATCAACTTAATACACATTATGTAATATCAAAAATTCTATCTTATTCTCTAATCTTGAAGAAGTAATAAATTAATTTCTTGTTTATGGATAAGAAAACTCGCCTACCAATAATTGTCAACAATAACAAAACAAAACTGCAGAATTATAAATGTGTTTCGGCATGTTTGCAAGACAAAATCAACCAAGTATATAAAATCAATAAACATTAAAAAAATTCAAACCCTCCTCGGTTTATAATACATGGAAATCTACAAGTAATTAAAAGAAAAATGGAAAAAACATATAATAATATGTGACCTGATCAAACCAGGAAGCTAAATGAGGTAATATGTGATGAACGACAGTGGCAGAGACAAAGAAGGATTATTATTACGAAGAGAAAATAATATACAATAACTCAGGGAATATTAGGAATGCAGAAGAAGGAGGAGGAGAATGCGGAATTGGGTGTTTTTTTTTAGTTCCAAACTTGTATCGTATGTAATGAAGCTCCGTTTTGGAACAAAGGCACATGTTGTTGTGTTTCCCGGGAATATCGGTTGGGTAATGAAAAGCTTATTAACGGAAAAACCAGAAAGGTAACATAGTGCGCCAACCTTGCGAGGGTTGTGTTGTGTTGAGTTGTGTTATTGTTGTCTACGTGCTTCCCACGATGCACGTCCTTCGGTCATTGCCTCCTATTTTAATGCTCTCTTTATGGTTTGTTATTCTCATCTAACAGCAAATTACACAACGTTCAAGTCAAATGCGTATAATATAATTAAAAAGTACATTAGTTACACCATACTACGAGGTCCCTTAAGTTACATTTCATGCAAAGATTTAGCAATACCTGTGTGGCCGTAACTCTACAGACTACAATTTTAGTTATTCTAATATAAATTTATTTTTAAAATGAGTTATTAAGAGCGTATTTATTTTTTTAAGTTTTTAGTAATCTAATAAAAATAAATTCACTTTAAAAAGATTTATATTTATATTTTGGATTGAAAGAATAAACACTTTTTTAATTAAATAACTTGGTTTCGAGAATATTTTAGTAACTTATGATTATTAGATTTATTGAAGAAAGAAAGTAATGATAGTTAAATTTAATAAAGAAAGAAAAAATCAATTTTAATGAAGAGAAAGGGTTTGATTTTGTTACTAACTTATGTTAATTAATTTTTGTTTTATTAGTTAAAATTAAAAGAATAAAAATATATCATTTAAAATAATTAAATAAATTAAATAAAAATAAACACCTCTTATTATTCTATAGTTATATTTTTATTTTACGTTAATATTATGGGCTCATCCTATAGGCTCATATTTTAGAAGGTCCAAAAAAACGACACATCAACACTACAAAGAAAACTAAGAGAAATAAATGAAAGAATCATTATTCGATCCTATACGACAGCAATGGATTATATAATGGACTCCCATAAAAGTTATTAAAGGTTTAGAATTTTACTGTCCACAAATAAATTCTATAAATAAGAGGTAAAGCTACTACAGCTACAAGTATAATATTTTTTACTCTATCTCTACTTATTCTAACTGTGTACACACATTACCCGTTGTTATTTTCTTGTGCACAATTATGTGCTTGTCTCAAATGTATTTTCTCTATGGATACTTGAGATAGCTCTTAGATTCAAGATGAACACATTAGTTTCTGACTAGATATTTCTATCTCCAAGATAGAACAGTTACATTCTTATTTAATAAATAAATCATAATTATTACTTATTTCAATGAAAATTTTAAACTAAAATTTAATAATAATAAGTAGGACTAGTAATAAAGTTATTATCTTTCTTCATTAAAACAAAAGTATTCTCTTTTTCATTAAATCAAACTCTTCTATTCTCATCATCAAATGGGTAAAAGTATAAATTATTATTGTTATAAAAAAAAAATATAAATTATTAAAATATCAATAAATTAAATTTATTTTTAGAGATAATTTATAAATATTTTTATCCAAAATAAAGTTAGAAATGAACGGTGAGGTCAGGAACCCCTCGAGATGGAATCATACTCCACGTGAATTAATTGCTGAATATAATTTGTCATTAAATTTTTAATGACAAATTATGACTTACTCCTATCTTCGGCTTTTTGACCCTTATAACCTTTTGGGAAAACATTTTCTCCTCCAAAGACACATAGTATAAGTGGGGCCTACAAAATAGTGGAGAGAGAGAAAAATTCAAAGTGGGATCCATTTATGCTATGAGTCTTTGGTAGGAGAAAATGTTTTCCCTAACCCTTTATTAATAATTAATTATCAAATTGACTTTCATTATAAACTATTTCAAAAGTTTAACCCCTTTAAAAAATATAACATCAATCTACTCTTGTTTGACCGTTGACCACCAAGCCTACCCGGATACATCCCTTCCTACCCGGGTATTTTTTGAAATTTTTTGCCTACCCGAGTAGGAAAGAGTGTACCCGGGTATTGTTCTTGTCACCTGAAAAATTGCTTGAATTATTTACCCGGGATAGAGAGGGGTGTAACCGGGTAAAACCATTGTTCTGGACACAGTTAATGGATACAACTTTAGAACAACTTATACTTACAATTTTCCTGTGTAAGTCAAATTTCCCAGGATAGGAGGGATTGGTCCACTTAACATGTTACAACTCAAGTCTCTGGATTGATCAAATTTCATAAAGTACATTTCAGAAACTATCTAAAATGCTTACAAGACAGCAAGTGCTTGCATGAGACCGATCACTGATGGAATATTTCCAAAGAGTTTATTGCCTTGCAATGACCTACCAAATTCAAACAAATCTATCAAGAATTTCCAAGGGAAGGGAAGTGGAAAACCAAAAACTACTCGATAAAAAAATAACTTAAAAAAGGATTACGCAACACATACGAGGTTGCTACTTGCAGAAATCCAATGTTGAATGGTATCTCTCCAGTTCTGGTTGTAGGATAAATCTCTGGCATCAATAGAAGACGTTAAAAAGGTAAAAAGAAAATAAGACAAGGGAAGGCAAAGTCTGTCATATAGTTGGATTACATACAAGACCTGGAAGGCAGTACAGTTGCCTATGTTTTCAGGAATACTTCCTGTTAGGCTATTGTTTCTCACATCACTACAAAATACAAGGAAGAAAATAATCAGAATCTAATAGGCTATCCATTTAGCCGGTACACCCCTCCTTATCTGGGTAAATAATTCAAGTAATTTCTTAGATCTAAGAACTATACCCGGGTACACCCCTCCCTATCCGGGTATGCATAAAATTTCAAAAAATACTCGGGTAAGGAGGGGTGTACCCGGGTAGGCTTCGTGATCAACGGTCAAACAGGGACAGATTGGTGTTATATTTTTTGAAGAGGTTAAATTTTTGAAATAGTTTATAATGAAGGTCAATTTGATAATTAATTATTAATAAAGGGTTATAAGAGTCAAAAAGGCCTTATCTTCTCTAAACACATGATGATATTAAATAAGACATAAGAAAATCCTCGCCATAAGATCATGGATATAATCATTGGTAATGTGTAGGGAAAGACTGTTAAAGCTGGCCCAATTTATAGAATAATTTTTCTTTCTTTTCTTTGGTCAAGTAGGCTCAAACTAAAAATGAATTTAGGCTCAAATTGCCCAAGTTGTATTGGTTTAACCATTTTATTTACTGGATTTAGGTCGGAACAACCATGATTCTTGGCGCAGACAAGAGAGCTGGCTCACCATTTTAACAACTCTAATTCAATGATGGTCACAACTTGTTGACTTGTGGGGATGATCAACCAGTTCTTCTGATTCTAAAGGAGTAGCACGATACATTCATACGGATAACAAATGCTAGATTTATTGACAAAGTTTTAAATCATTTTGTGACAAGGTTATTTTGCTTTTCACAAAAGTCATTCCCCCCGGAGGATTTTCGTCAATTTCTTTATACTTCCTTGATTAACTCATTCCCATGAGTTTGGTTTTTCGATTAATATATCAAGCCTACACAATTTTTAAATAGTATGATTTTCCTTGCATGAATTTCACTCGCATCTTATAGCATCCTCAATTTACCAATGTAAATTTTCATTTCCAATATTCAGAAGCACATGCTTTTTCCTTCAAAAAGGAAAAAAAAAAAATGGATATAAAGCTGAAAACCAAATTGAACGTAAGCCTCAAGTCTAAGTCAGGCTGTATGAAACTGAAAGAGAACTTATGGAGAGAAAAGTGGAGCACTAGTGCTTCATTCTTTGCCACAGAGCAAAATCTTAAAACAATCGTTACAGAATCTGTACAATAATCGCTTGGACATCTCTAATATAGTATATTTACATCTCTAATCTTCTTTCCAAATACGACCAGTGATTCTCAACTTCAACTCCTGTCTATCCCCACCAGAAAAATAAAGGGCTAGATTCCTCTGAATGATAAGTCCATCTTGACTATCTCGAACTTTTCTATGACTGTCACGAATGCTCCTTGGAATTCCTTGCCATATAAGTTTGCGGCCATTTGCACCAACTTCCAAGCTGTAGCTGAATTTCTTTGCTTCGTTGTCATCGCCCATAAACCGTAAAAAGGCCATATAAACTGGAGCAGTCCCAAGCTGGAATGCCTCAAAGTGCAAGCAGAATTGTCTTCCAAAACTATTAAAAACCTGCAAGCAAGAGACTTCAACATCATAAAGGTCACAATAAAATTTGTGATGACATGCATTCAGAAGAGAAAAGGTGAATCCATATATTAGCTTAGACTAAAGAAATGTTTAGATGAAAATCAAAGAGGAAAAAATTCCATAGTGCAACTAAATTCGATGCGTTCAAATTATTCATCAAAAGTCAAAAGACCACATGCGTCCGGTGTAAGTCATGTGACACATGATATGATACTTTTTTAACTGCTGCTCAGAAAAGCGGACTAGGAAAGCCATGTGCGCGCAAAAAATAAAATGTCACATATTAGAATATATGACTGAGAATTTACAGATTAAAAGAATCAAAATAACATGCAAAAATGTCAATCTACGAGAAAAATTACATCAAATCATTGAACGGGCCAGCTATTGTAATTCATTAAATAACACTTACAGTTAGCATCCATGTGGCACTTTCAACTTCATGTGAATTTGCCTTGACATATCTATGATTGAAGGTGCACCCATCATGCATGTCAACGTTGTGATCATCCTTGAGATGGGCAACAAGAGATGGAATGTCACCCATCACAGAGCACTCAGATCCAGCATAGGGGCAGTTGTATGGACGAAATCCACAATTTTGCTCATGCTTAAGCTTAGTGTAGTATGGGAATATATCATGACAACCTAGACTCTGAAATCTGCAAGGAAGCTCCAACGATTCTGCCACTTTTTCCAGAGCCAAACACCTTATATTCCCAAGATCATGGTGACAGGTTGGGCAGATATTATGGACTTCAATCTTACAATTTGAACATAATGTATGGCCATTTGGGCACTGAAACACACAATGCAGCCATAAAGAAAATATTAGAAACTTAGAATTTAGAAGAAAATTACAAGACTGGATGAATTCACAGTAAACATGCGAAGTGAAAATAATGATTGAAGAGTTTTAGTAGGTTCTAATAACCATCTACAATAATCCAACTGTACACTCAGAAGAACAGGCAGCCCAATGCATGAGGGTCAAGACGTACACAGCCTTCCGTGAAAAGTTCCAACAGCAATAAAACTAAACTAGCAACACCTAAAGTCCATACAAGTATTAATTATTAAATTTTTTATTATTTTTTTAAACTTCTCCTTTCTACCCCACCTGGGTGTAATCTCAATTAAAATCCACTCTCCTTAGCATAAGTCATCCAACTCTACCTGGGATCTCAATCGATATCTATAAATATAATCTTAGAATCTGCAAGTCTCATTCCTGACCTTCCTTTTTAGTAACAAATGATGTGGAACAAATTTGTCGAATTTCGACAACTACCATGAAAGTCAGTGACGAAGGGTGGAAATGAGTCAGGCCTAGCCTATTTCTCAAACATAATGCCAGGTCCAGGCTATTTACCTGAAAGCCTATTTGAAGGCCTGCTTTGTAATAAGGCCTTTAAATAGGGCAATAGATCTATATCTAAATATGCTAACGAGTCTAAGCCTTTAAATAGACTAGCAAGTCTATGATTTCAAAACATTATAGCAAACATTCAATATAAGAATAATAATATATTATTTATATGTACTTAAATAGGCCAGCCCATTAGGCCCAAAGAGCTTTTTAGATATAATACAGTCTGACTTTTTAACTAAATAGGCTTTTCAAAAAACCTTATACTAACTTATTTATAAAATTGGCCTAGGCCAGTCCAGGCCTAATATGGGTCAAACTATGCCCCCTACAGACTGTCTGGCCTATTCCCATCCCCAACAATAACTTCATGAAACCCCAAGTATTAAAGATATCGAATTTGTTCATCCTGATTCCCTTATCTCTCCATTCATCTCTCTCTCAAGATCAATGACTAAAGTAATCCCACATTGTCCAGAAAATTAAGTTTATTAAAATGAAGTTTTTTATGAACTAGCATTAAGCTGCATGATGCAGCCTTTGCAATGGAGGAATGAGTAAACAAGTGTTATTATCTTCAGATATAAAGGATAAAAATGCCACTATTCCTATACGTATATGCCTATATCTATTTCATGTGTGAATCATGTATTATGAGAAAAGGTTTTTCAAAAACACACACAGACACCCAAATAATAATAATAATAATAATAAAGAAAAAGAAATTGCAAGCACTGCACCTGGTAAATTGGGGGATACATCAAATTCTTGCAAACAGGGCACCCAAGTAAGTCATGCACGCCATTCTTTGAACTAACTCCATTCTTTCCGCTCAACCCAACAGCAGATTTTGTAAATGTACTGTTACTTTTGGCCTCAGATTTAGCCTTGCCTGTTTCATAATCTGAAGACATCAGGTGAGATTCAAGAACTTCTTTGAAAGCACTTCCTCCCGGAGCCATTGCGCACCAAAGATCCACAGTATTTTTTTTTCCAAATGACTAGGAACCAGAGCTCCACTTTAGTCAAATATCTTCTGCTCTGAATCTATATTTATGGCATGCTACATCTGTTAAACAGAAAAAATGGTCAATGCATAAGAACTTACATAGTAAATGCTATGCTACTATAGTCAAACTTTGATATTCTTTAGTTGAAAATATTGGGGAGGGGGGAGATTTTTAAAACAAATACAGGCAAGAACAACTATGATGTGTTTCTTCAGTCAGAATAATGACCTTCCATAGTTTCCCCACTATAATTTAACCCTGGTAAGCTACATTCACATGCAACAGTAACTAGATTAACTTCAAATTTAACTTTTAGCAATACTTGCCAAGATTCATGGAGTCAAGAAAAGAAAATATGCCTGAAACAAGAGAACAACATCATGCAATATAGTTATCCCAGAATTCAATCTGTAAACTGAGCCTCTCACTGTCAAAGCAAGCGACAGCCGACATGGATAAATTACGCAGCAAATGACAATTTTCACATATTATAAGCCATTAAAGCATAGCAGAAACATAATTTTCTTTTGCACATATCAAGCAAATGTTATGCCAGTCCATATTCCTCACTCGTCACTAAAAGTAGAACATATATTTGTTACCAAATAATACACCATTCCAACTGTTAAACTACAATGAAATTGTTAAATTGATATTTAAAGTTTCAAACTGCTTCAACTTGAGGAGGGAGAATACAACAAATAACATATCCAAAGCAAAAATCATAAATGAAAACAAGAATTCTATCCCCCCCCCCCTCCCCCAAAAACACAAAGGGCTACAATTGTTCTGCATATCTGGGAAAATCAAACCCGAATCAATATTAAGACAGAAGTCCTTCAGCAGGACATCTCTCACTATTAGCTAACATTGACCAAATCTTAGTGCTATATTTTTTAATACAATATCAAGGAAGCAAACAAAATCCACTTCATAACGGCAACCTGCAGTGCCTGTGCCTTCAATTCTACACGAACCCCAGTTGTGGCAGAAATTACCGCCCCTTATCTCTTCCGCGGTTTAAATTATCCACCAAACAGATCAAAATGAGACAGAGAATCACATAAAGAAAAGAATAACTTAGAAATTCAATCAAGCAGCATAAATCTGGTTGAATCTGCCACAATATTTACCTTTTCCAACTTAATCCAACCAATCAAAAACTGGAATAAACAGATAGGGGGAGACAGAAAAACAAAATTAAATGGAATATCTCAAACAACCACCCATTTAACAATTTATCATATGCAAGATTGCAACACCAGGTTTCTCACTTTCTCCAACAGCAACCAATGTCCATATATAGAAACACAAAACAATAGTCAATAGAAATCAGGCACAAAAGAAGCAAATACAGACAAATCTGAACACAATCGCCCAAAACCATCACCAATCAGAGGAAAAAACAAAAACCACAAGATGTGAACAACATATAATCCAAAATTTCAAAAAAATATACATATAAAATTAAAAAAAAAAAAAATACGCTCAGTTGAGAATTCCAAGCCTTATTTGTGAACATGTGTCAAAAACAATTCAAATTAAAAAAAAAAAGAACAAAAAAGATTAAAAAGCATAATGCAAATGGAACAAGAGACGAGAAACATATCGTACGACGAGCTCCGGAAGTTACGGAAATTACCCCCCCGCTATGGAGTATGTGGAGATTGAACAAAAAAGCGTGTCTTGTTGGTATCGATATGGATGCTGACCACCAACGTTTGTTTATTGTTTTCCTTCTTCTGCTTCGAAATCGCAGGATTTCCCTTGTTTTGTGCTCTGTTTCTTTCCTTATTTTTTTTTTATTTTTTTTACTCTCTCTCTCTCTTTTTATTTTTAGTTTTTTTAGTTTTGGGAAATAAAAAATATTTTGGATTCTTCGTCCCTGGAGTCTGGTCTCGACCCTAACGATACGTTGCCAACCCAACAAGGGTGGTCCAGTGAGTTAGTGACTCTTCCCGCACGCGACGTTTAAAAAGTAAACACCTTTTTTTATGCTTTTTCATTTTCTGGTTTTTTTTATTTTAATTTTGGGTTTGTTGTTTGTCATTTTAAATGGCACAAGTTATGTCATTTTAAATGGCACAAGTTATGTCATTTTATGAGAGAGATAGACACAGAAAAACAGAAATCATGGAAGAGAGAAAGTGGGTGATTTTTTTAATTTAAAATTTAAATTTTCTGTGTCTGTATCTCTCTTAAAAATAACATAACTTTATGTTATTTAACACTTTTCCTGGGAGAAGGACTTACAATCATTTTTTTCCTTATAATTATTTTTATTATCCTTCGATTGAAATTAAATTAATAAATATAAAATAACATTAAATAAGAGGTATTGTTTGATTTTGATCAAACAGTAATAAAAATAAAAATTTAGTGTTTGTCTTTTTAAAAAAACATAAAATTATGTCATTTTAAATCAGAAAAAGACATAAGAAATGAAAATAATAACAAAGAAAGTGGGTGATTTTTTTAAAATTTAAAATAAAATAAAAATTAAATTATGTCTTTTTCTCTTTTAAAATAATATAATTATATATCTTTTAAAAAAAAATTCCCAATTACAAGAAGTCGTAAGAAAAAAATGATGGTAAGAATAATTTCCCTCTAATTTCATTTGTTCTTCGATATTAATTTTCTTGCATTGTAATTGTAACTGTTTCCCTTAGTAAGTTGGTTCCCGTTCAATTTTCTTGCAATTAACTGTTTCCCCTAACGGAAAGGGTAACTTTTGGTAAGTTTAATTTCCCTTGTAGTTCTTTTATGCGAAATTATATTCTTATATTATATAAGATTCATCTCTCATGTTACACTCACATAAAAAGATGTATTTCACTTTTTTTCTTTTTCTTTTTTTTAAAAATTGGTGGGACTCACTTAATTTATCTCACAACATAAGATAACTCCTCTCATATAATATGAGAGAAGTAAAACCCTTCTTTTATTCCTTTTTTTCTTCTCTCTCTAAAATAATTTTCGTTCCTTAATTCTTTTGTGTTTGCAGTTATTATTTAGAGGATTGATGTTTTTTTTTGTAGAGAACAGTGTTTGTCCACTGTGTTTTATAGTATATAAATAAGGGGAAAAAGTTTCTGACGTTACTTTAGACAACTTTGTCTAATGTTCATTGAAACGACATCGTTTTGGAGTTGAAAATTAAAAAAAATTAGAATGATAAAGACTATTATAACCATGAAATAAATTAAAATTACAAAAATACCATGATTTTCGTCACAAAACGATGTCGTTTCGATGAACATTAGATAAAGTTATCTACAGTAACTTTAGAAAAAACAAACCCTATAAACAATGGGGTTTTCGTTTGTCATGCAACATGATATGGTAAAAATTTCTACAGACACAATATTTCAATATTTCATGGGGCTCACAATTTATGAAAAAAAGAAAACAAATAAGCACAGAAAACAAATATCTACAACATGACATGGTAACTTTTCCTACAACATAACTCTTATAAAACTCATAAACAGTTATGTAATGAAAATCATGGTAAGAAAGAATGAGAACAATTAAAATAACTGTCATTTAAAAGAATAAATATTTTTTTCTTTTTTTATAAGCTTACACTTATCATTTTTGTTCCTTATAATATCTTATACCCATTGTTATTATTATTAGATCAAAATTAAATCAATAATAAAATAATATTAATTAAGAATCACTAGTTTAATTTAAATCCAACGATAATAAAAAAAAAGTATAACAAGTTGTGAGTGCAATTTTTTGAGTGTGAAAAATGTTTTTACTTTTAAATACTTACAAAATTGAAAATTCATGTTTGCCCACCATTAATAATATTAAGCAATTATGTAAAATTAAAGTGCATCCAATATTTGCTTTTAATTACCAGGTTTATTAAAAAAAGAAGGATCGCTCAGATATTGAGTTTTTTTTTTTAACTCTAAGATGGATAATTAAATCTTCTTTTCGTAATTAAAAAATAATTTAACAAAATATGGTTGAAAAACCATTGCACTATCGAGAAATCAAGTTTGTAGTCTTGAAACCCTTATATGTAGAAAGAAAAGTTTACTTAAGATAAAGTTTTATCTTATTCGGAGAGTTTAATTTATTTTTATTTTAACAAGATCTTATTATTATAGTATTTTAAGAAAAGAGTTATTCTTATCACCAAGTAAGTTTAGCATCTCTTACCACCTCTCTTATAACTATCGGATAAATTAAATCCACAATTGTAATTTGATATAATTTTTCTTTCTTTCTCTTCAATCACTTACTTTTTTTTTTTTTTGGTAATCTCAATCATTTCCTTTATTTCCTCTCTCACTTTCCACTTTCCATTATATTTTAATGACTATTATTTTATGGTGATAAAAAATAGTAAGAAGCGATAAACTTAGTTGGTGATAACCAATGATGCACGGACACGGGACACGACACGATACGACACACCGACACGTTAATTCTAAAAAATGTCATATTTTGACACGTTGGGACACGTTTTGATATTAAATAAAAATTTTAAGGGTTTGTTTTTTCTGATGTTACTTTAGATAACTTTATCTAATGTTCATCAAAACGACGTCGTTTTGAGACGAAAATCATGGTATTTTTGTAATTTTAATTTATTTCAGGGTTATAATAGTCTTTATCACTCTAATTTTCTAATTTTTCAACTCCAAAATGACGTCGTTTCGATGAACATTAGATAAAATTATCTAAAGTAACATCGGAAACTTTTTTCCCAAATTTTAATATATATATATATATATATATATATATATATATATAATTTAATTTATATTTATACATATAAATAATAAGTCATATAACCAATCAAATATTTAAATTTCATAACATAAATATAAATATAAATAATTTTTAGTATTTTGTTAAATTTTCATCTTAAATTTCATAACAGAAAAAAATTAATTTATAAATTATTTCTTTTATAAAGTTAACAAAATAAAATTAAGATTTTTTTTATAAAAAAAAAAACGTGTCCGAGCGTTGACCGCGTGTCAGAGAGTTGACCGCGTGTCCGACGTGTCAGAGCGCTACACGCAAATTTTTTTTTCAAACGCCGTGTCCGTGCTTTGAAGGTGATAACCATAATATTCTCCCTATTTTAAAAACAACATTTATTTAAAGAAATTTGGTACAAAATAAATAAATAAAAATATACTTATAATCTCATAAAGTATAATAATGAGACTGATATTTTAAATTTAATAATGATATAATCTGATTTTTATTTTATTTTTTATAATAATATTTAAATGTCCTTTTTACTTGTATATATGTACATTAAACTAAAAAAGATTATACTTATCACCTCTTTTTCTTACTACCTCTTACTACTAAATCTTAACCGTTAATTTCTGTCAATCTAACAGTTATAATTTATTGAGTCATACTTATTAATTAATTATTAATTATTAGTAAATTATAACCGTTAGGTTGGCGAAAATCAACGGTTAAGATTAAATTGGTAGTAAGAGATAGTAAGAAAAAAAGGTAGTAAATATAATCTCTCCTTTTTTATGATATGAAAAATATTTATAACAGCTATTCTTTATGTTTTATATCCGGATATCATATCCATACATTTCGCGACAAATGGCCAAAACAACAGCCAACACAAAATGTTGCCTAATTTACACCAAAGTACAACTCTCTCAACACCCTAACATGCATTTCTACGCGTAGGTTCATACTACAACTCACAAATCATAAAATCCCTAATTTCTGTAACCTAACTCATGCCATTGTCATGAAATCCAACAAAGAGGGTCATGGTATTTACCTTGGGAGTTTTAACAACCAAAAAGAATAATTTTCCTGAGCTTTCGCATCTTCTTTCCTTACCAAGCAAGGGGAATCCGATAATGGTATAAAGATGATGTGTGCCTTTTGATGTTTATGGACATGAAAGTGAAAAGGAACAATCAAAGTGCCCTTTTCAAGATTGATGGGTCACCCACCATAGAAGAGAAGGAGCAGGGAAATTTTCAATCATGGAGAGGGGGAGCCCGACGAAAAAGAAAGAAATATGAGGAGAAAGAGTGTCTTTGATTGTGTTTAAGTGAGGTCAATTGACCTAATGGACATAAATTTATCTATCTCACTCACTTAACTCTCTTTCAAACTTATCATACAGGCTCGTGATATATTTATAGTATTATTCACTAATTTATTTTTAAGTTCCAGGTAACTTTGCTATCTGCATTTTTACTCTATAACTGACATTATTCTCACTTTTCAACAAAGGTGATTTTAATATATTTAATTAAAGCTCTCATCTACTCATTCCTTATTAATTATAATTAAATCTTCAATCATTTCATATTTTCGTAGTTTATAAGTTAGGGTAATTATAGTATGGGGTTTTGTGTGTTTGTCCTGCTGCAACAGAGGATCCTTGTTGTTGTACTTGCGAATAGAAAGATTCAGGTGATTCCCCCATCCTTAATTGTAAGTGTTTGATTATGGATTATTGTTCTTGTTATAATTTCCTACAAAACAAGTAGATTGATAATTTACTGAACAGTTATCATTAACACGGGGACCATTACAGAAAACACATGATATAATATTAGTTATGACATTTGCTTGTTGTGCTCTGGCATCGGCAGACAGATTATGTGACTTGATAGTGTTATTAAGATATGAAATGTGTGTTGCCAACATCGATATAACATCAAGCTCCAAAATTCCAGCAGTCTTCTTTGGTGTACTTGTTCTTTCCGTTGGCTACTGATAGTTGTTAACTGTCATCCTCTCCAATATTGCACATGCCTCTATAAATATATTGTCTAAAAG